CCGGACAAGACCAGTAAGGCAAGCGAGCACGCTGGACCGAGAGTCGACGCTCACGGAAAAGAGCAGAATTGGGGGCCAGAGGTCATGTGACCAAAGCCGAACACTGTCTCACCGATGCGCCCGCGAAGCTGAATGCTGCTCATCTGAACAGCAACAACCGATCAGTCCACCGGCTGAGGTGGGAGAGGCCAAGCGGCACGTTGATTTGAACACAATTACGCCGACCCCAAGGGTCACGCAGGCCTGTCAGCGGTCAGCCCCTGGGAGGTCTAAGCCAGTCAGCGGTAAACAGGCAGGTCAAAGTTCGTGCGTCCAGCACGGCTATAATACGAGGCAAGCGGCAAGACTGAACAACTCAAGACCGGCAAGTGCAACAATTACGCTACTCTGATGATTGAAACGAGGAAGTTTCCGAAACGTCAGTTCGAATACAATATGGTCCATGAATTCGCCCTCTCTACTTCTTCGTCTTCTTCGGGAGATGATGAACGCGATATATATATATATATATATATATATATATATATATATATATAAAACAGAACGGGACCCAGAGCACTCTCACAGCGACCCCGACGTGAACGCTTTCCCACTCCGATTTGGATTCATCAGTGCACGCTTTCCACGTCGGCCTGTGTGGAAGTCGATCAACTATTTGAGTAGAATTCCTGTTTCACTTATTTGGCGCAGTCTGGATATGAGCTCTCTGTGTGGCACCCTAGCGAAGGCTTTGCTGATGTCACTGTAGACTGCATCTACCGATGAACCCATCTCCAGGGATTTCGCCTAGATATCCATTGATGTGAGCAGGTTAGTGAGGGAGGATCGACCACCTCTAGATCCATGCTGATGCGCACTAAGCACGCTGTTCTCCTCAGTATGTCTTGTCAGCCCGTATTATTATTTTCTTCATTAGTTTGCAACAGTTGCTTATGACACTCGCTGGTTTGAAGCTACTTGGCGAGGTTCTCTCTCTCCCTTTATATATGGGACTCATGTTTTCTAGCTTCCAGACAGTAGGCAAAGCCCCCGCTTCCACCGAACTTTCGAAGATCATGGAGAGCGGAGAGGCTAATTGGTCTGGGAGGGAATCGTTTTTGTCCTCCCGTGTCATGGAGCCCTGGGAAAACCTGCTTGAAGCAATTTGAATGTCTCAGTCCGTGGAGACATTTAAGCATCGGCTTAACATACAAACGCTCCAGCAGCAGGCGGACTACGTGACAATGAAACCATAATTTTAATTATTTTTATTAAAGACTCGTCGGGGTCCCATCAAAGCAAGTAAAAATAAATTTACATACGAATTTTAGACGAGGTAGGCAAAATCTGTACAAAGTGCAATACATAGTTTTTGAGATTAGAAGTCCGTTAAGAAAAATTATAAGCGAGGGGTGAATAAACTCCATACAAAAATTTAAAAATGATTGGATTTATTTTACAGGAGAAGTAAACCCCTCGAAAAAATAGAAACAGAAAAATGCGGGCAGGACTGGCCTGCATGTGGCGGGATAGAATGAGTTATAGTCGGACATCAACAGGGCCGAAATAAATGTCAGCTGTATATGGCATTGTATAACGAATTTCATGAAGGGGTAAGTAGGTGGGTCGGTCAGGACTGGCCTGTGTGTGGCCTTGAATAAGGCAAATAAGTGGCGAAATTAAAAACCAGTCTCGAGGTTATAGGAACCCAGATGCGGTCGGTTACATTTAACCGAGTCCATCTGAGGATGGGTCAAGGGAGATGCGACCAGACTACTAGTATATAGCGAATACAGAAGGTTTCGCCAACAGCTTCGATGGTGCGCATTCTGTGAGGGCACGATGCATGAACTGAAAAATTGGAATAATTAACATTTCCGGTGAGGGATATTAGGAAGCGAGACTACTCACAAAAGAAGGAAATGTGAACAGATACGGAAATTTAATGGCAGCATACTAAATTCCTGGTGGCCCTTTCTCAGTGTCATAGAAAATGTTGTCTGTGAAGGATGAGGAAACTAAAAGTTTAATCGAGTCGGTATTCAGATAAAGGCGTAGCCTTCTCTTAAAGGTGTCTAGATTTTCTGAAGATCTTATATTTATTGGAAGGTTATTCCAGAGGGAAGTATATCTGGAAGCGAAAAAAGGGAGCGCTTAGAGGTGGAGGACGCTGGAGGAGGTATAATCAAGGACAAGTTGCGTAGATTGTATGGGCGACTACTAGGGGTGAGTGCTGAAATCCGAGGAAAATTTGAACTATGATTAATGCGAAAGAGGAGACAGAAGCCTGCTTCTAGTCTTAGAACCCATAAAAATTTTAGGTTTATTAGCTGGCATCTATCTGAGTAGGAGATATTGGGATGTTCCTTATTTAAAAGTTTTTTAGAAAAACGTCTTTAGACATTTTCAATTTTTAAACGACTGGCTTTATTCATCAAACCAA